ATACTATGTGCAGAGCCAGGCGAAGGTCCAGGACTGGGGCCCAGCATTGCACCAGGTGATGGCCCGGGTCCAGGAGAAGGCCCTGGGCGAGGCGTTCCTCCCATTGGAGGATCTGGAGTGGACATCTTCAATGGAATTGCTCAGAGTAGTATCCTAGTGCAAGAGAGCATGGCTTTAGATAGAACCGCCAGCGCAAGTCAGTCAATGGCTTAACACCACGGCCAGCTGAGGGCTCGCTTCTTTGAAAGCAACAGGGTCACCCCAGAAAGCCTGAGCGGGTGCAAGAACACTGATACAGCTTTATATATCCACGGCTGGCATGACAAGTTACAGTCACAGAAGACCCCTTGGGACTGTTGCCCAGTTTGCTGATAAAGCCACTGCCACTCACCTTCTTGCTCTCTAGGGCTCCTCACCACCATGTCCTGCTAGACCAGCTCTCCTGGTCTCCCCCAGACAAGACACAGAGCTGCAATAACTCCCTCCTCCCCACGAAGAGCAACTGAGGGCTCATACCACTGAAGGCTTACATTGCACATTTAGAACCATAAACAGTTTCCTAACTTTACATACAAGAACGATGCATACACCAAAATAAGATGTACAGACCCAGCAGATTGTGACATTAAAATTGATAGGTTACATGAGGCATTTGTCCAAAGCAGCTTCAAGTTATGCATATTTGTATCCATAAGACAATTTCATACAGCATTGGGTGGAGGGGAACTCACAACTGGGACACCAGGAACCATGAAAATGCAGTAAATGAATAAATCATAATAGCACAATTTCATTCCACGAAATGGTAACTGACTAAAGTAAGCACCCTACTGTTCAATACACATATCCCTCTTTGAAATAATCATGTTGCCAAAGAAGAGCATGAGCAATGGACACAAACTCAGAAGACACATGTGGGACACTGACCATATACCTGGAAGCATTGGCTTCCAAGCAGCCAGTCTACGGGATTAATAGGAATGCCATAGAAATTATACCAATATACATTAACAGTTTAATTCCTGTCTGCATTTGTCAAAGCCATAATACAAACTAGAAACAAAAGATCTGTTAATCCAAGCTCTCTCCCACAACTCCCTGAAGCCAGGGAAGAACTTGCCCTCTTGTGCTCGAGTCAAATTAATTTCCACATTCACCTTGTCTTTAAGGAAATTATTCCACACTTTTACAGGACTCGTTTTCAAAAAAATTTCTGTGATATTAAGACTAAATTTCCCCTTTAATTTCTTCCCATTAACTCTAGAAGCACCCATTAAAACCACCCTCAATAATTCTTCCCTCACCTTTTTTTCATACCTTTCAAATATTTGTAAATAAATAATTACAATTAGCATGGGCAATGCTCACTAAAGGGTCTATTTTCCTTTCAATGTATGTGCTTAATATCCATCAATATTACTGGGTATTATGTATATGCAAAAGAGGTGTTATCACAATAAGGCCTGATGTACATGTAAGATTGCACCATAAAGGTGTGATTTTATACCAATTTTTATTAAATTGGTGCATTTTTTTAGAGACACAAACTGATTTAAATCTTTATTTAGTCTGCATCACTCAGTAAATTGAGAGTTGCAAACTCAGCTGATATAATTTATTGTAAAATGATATAACAGCAACCACGCTAATAGTGGTTTAACAAAACCGTTTTTTAAACAAATTTAAAGTAGTGCAACTTTTGATTTTATAAGCTGATTCTACACAGAAGAAATCATTGCTGTTATCTAATCTGATTTC